TGTGTGTGTGTGTGTGTGTGTGTGTGTGTGTGTGTGTGTGTGTGTGTGTGTGTGTGTGTGTGTGTGTGTGTGTGTGTGTGTGCGTGTGTGTGCGCTTGCGCCTGTTGCATTCACCCACTCGTAGTTGTCACTGTATCCGGCTTCAAATCTCAGCGTAGCAGACATGGTAAAATGTAAAACCACTCGCACAAGTGGAGGATGTGAGAGAAAATCTCTGGTGTGCATTCATTTCAGTTTCATCTTTGAACACAACTTCGAGGGAATGAAAACTGTTGAAAGTTTACTTCAAGCGTTGCTTGAAACATGATGGGGCTGTGACCAGAAAATCTTTTAGAATCAATTATCCTATCGATTAGTGCATTGATTATGATGATAAACCCCCTCCCTCTGTCCCCACCCCATGTTGAAAAGGGACATTTCTGGGGTATTAATTGAAAAGTCATGATGTATTAAGATTTTGTAGAAAAAATAATTTGAATGAAATATATTTTGGAGTTCTTCAAAAATCTGTTGCTTTTGTAGGAAATAGTACGATAAGGACACTTTAAACTGACATTTTCTGGGGTGATGTGAAAAGTTTTATTTGTTTAGTAATGTTTTATACAAAAAATGAACTCTGATTACTTATTAGAGAAATGACATTTGGAGGGTATACGAAATCTTTGTTTCATTTGTAGGATAAGTATGACGTTGTACATATTGACAGACGGTTAAGCATTTTTTGCATCTTCGCCGGGTCATACACACGCCGATGAATTCTCACATCAAGCCACAGAGTTGGCCTGAGAAATATGTACACTCTTCACGTGACCAAGCTGTTGTGTTTGTCGAGGAGAAAACAAAAGGCGCTGTCTGAACTTCCCTCAAGCTTTTTTTTTTTTTTTTTTGCCCTCAGGCTGCAAGCAACAGCTGTCTAACACCAATAACTTTCAATAAAAGTGGGTTATTGTGTCTTTTCATGCACAGGGAATAGCATTTGGGTATCTCCACATACAGGTAATTTTTTAAGGTCGTTGTCAAAGGAGGAAAGCCAGAATTTCAAAAAGTGGGATGGGGGTTGGGGGGGTGCTTTTGCGTTGATTGTTGTATTGTTAAATGTTCCAATCTTAGCCTGGGATCCTCTTGGCGGCTCAGCTAGGAAGCAGCCAGTAAGCAGGGACACGTTGGTTTTATGGTTTTCGGACAAGGAACGGCCGTTTAATACCCACATTAAATAACACTGGTCAATAGAAAATTGTCATCAGAGATGCCTTTATATGTCCTTAAACATATTTCTGACGCTGTCTTTACTTTTTTCTAACACCATGTTTTTGAGATATATATTTTTTTCTTTTAAGTTTGTCTTGCACCCAACGCTTGCTCAATGCGTATTTTTACAAGGCATTGTAATTTATCACTATAGATATAAATATGTTAGATATTTTATCTAAAATCCCATCAGTTATTGAATATAAACCTTAATTTATAAATCTGACTAAATATATTACTATATTACATATTATATTATCGTTATTGTATTATTACTGTTACAATGAAAATAAGATGTGTCAGAGAATAAAAAACAAGGGTCGATTCGGAATCAGCTCAAAAAAATCCATCTAGAAAACGTACTCACTTGCGTTGATGAAAACCAATTGCAAAAATGTATACACATATAAACATAAAAACGTTGAATTAGTCATAACAAGAATGGAAAAAATAATAATCTATACTTATCTAGTATTTAGTTATATATTCTGTTAGTAATTGTGTACTAATTTCATATAATAGTAGTTAAAATAGTAATATGGAAAATGCTGGGTCGCAAATTAAAAACAGTAACAAAACATGAGGTTACCTCAAGGCAATTTATGTGTAGATTGTTTCAGAGGAAGTGATCACATCAAACTAAAAGTTAAAATTATGTCAGCGGGCATGTTGGAGCCCCCTTCGGCCAGCCTCCCTGAGCACACGCACACGCAGGGAAAGTGAGCGTCAACAAAAAGGCGGGCGCTACGCCGTGTTTTCAACCGTCGAGTGGCCAAGCGTAATGTCAATCAAACGTATGCGCTATCCCATTGGCGGAGCGCTTTAGCATTTATCGTGCCATCTCGTCGAAGCTGCTGCTGTGTAATAGCAGGTAACTTTCTTGCGATAGCCTTCCGCTGCGCAAGCTAGTGCGCGTAGAACTCTCGCGTTTGGATGGCCGCAGTCAAATCAGACAGGAGATAGAGATTCACTTTTAAACAGTCATCGCTCCGAGGTACCGAAAACGCCAACAATCGTGAGTCATCGCGGGCGAATGGTGCCCGTCTACGAAAGGCGTTTGAAATCGGACACCGCTGGCGTTGAGGGCCTCATTCCGCGCGCGGAGGGATACCTTGTTGCGTCTGACAATGTGGACGGAGGAGGTGAAGATGTCTACGAGAAGAATGGAATCATCTCCTCAGTTGTAACAGGGAAAAAAGGAGGAAGACGCCAGATTAAGCGAGTAGAATAGATTTGTTTGCACACAGACTCGAGACACTGGAGGAAACACGTGGAGGCGGACACTTGCAGGGCGAGCTTTCCGGGACAAAGAGGGGGGCAAAAGACGTTCCACGGCGCTCCAATGCGTCTGGTGCGCTGAGCTCGAAATTCTCCTCAACTTTTATGGTTTTCCCTATCGCCGCTGCCCGCTTTTTCTTCGCCGCTTTTGGATAGCCGACACCCGCGGAGGAGAGGTAAAAAAATCAACAACAAAAAAACAAGCAAACACCTTCTTTCCCGTCACCTTTCACCCTCAAAAGTTGCACGAATTCGACGGCTTTTTCCCCCCCATTGACACTAGCGCAAGTCGCCTTGTGTTTTTCCGAAAAGTTTTTCGGGAACGCGATTTTAAAGCGACGGCTTGTTTTATTTTTTGGTCTGCTTTGCCGAGCTAGCTTCGTGCTACCCCCACAGCTTCGATCGCTGATATTAATGTAAAAAACGTGTAAAAAAATTGTCCTCGTTTTGTGGCTTGTTCCGCCGTGTGTTTATGCTAGTTAGCATTTCAGAAAAACACAATGTATAAGCTTGACGAGGGTATTTAGCCTGACTTTACGTTTCGGGACCTCCTCTATGTATCCCCTTGTTTCCAAGACAAACTTTCCATAAGCTCTCTTTAGGTCGCCTTTAAACATTCCTGTTTGGGAGTGAGTGGCCACCAGCGAGACTTTAAATTTTATTGCACATTTGGCAGGAAATTCCTCTCTCTCCCACCCCCACCGTCTCCCTACAGCCCCCCCCCTTTTTTCCCCATAAGGCGACTTGAACCCCAATATGAGCGAAGGAAGTGCAAAGTTTGGTCGCCATTCTCCAAAGGCGGCCTCCATCTTCTATTTATTTGGGGGTACCCCATCCCTAAAAACAAATAACAGATGAATGGATTCGTTTTGGATGTGACCTTATTTATGCTGCCCTCTGGGTGCTGGTTTGCAATTAACTTTAAAGAAATCTTATCCAAAGTGGACTTAATTTAACATTTCTCGCACAAACTGCCCAGTTGTATGAACACTTCATTCAACGGTTGGATATTTTGCTTGTGGAGTGCTATTAACTCATAGTAATAGTTTTTGTTTTTTGTAGTTTTTTTTTTTGCATCAAGAAGTTGTTATACACCACCATCAAATTTAGTGGTGGTCACACTGAATGATTTCACAAACTATGTCTTATTCGCATTCAAGCTTGAAAGAGCAGTTTCTTCGAGGTCATATTTGTTTCAGTGTTTTTGGCCCTCATACCATAAGTTTGTTTTGACGGCTTCTTGGCCTTATGTGAGGGGCTGACACAGACCCCCAAATCTGCCTGATTCAAATATTGATCCATGAGTAGGCCAAGATGCCATTTTGTTAAAGCAACCCCACCCCTGTGTTGCATGCGCCTGAGTCAATGTCGTGCAGTGCTGGGGTAACATTTGAGAAGACCAAAAAGTTGGGACAGGCACCGAGAGGCATGCTCCTGGCTTACAGACGCTCAGATCTGTGTGTGTGTGTGTGTGTGTGTGTGTGTGTGTGTGTGTGTGTGTGTGTGTGTGCGTGCGTGCGTGTGCGTGTGTCTGCGCGCGGGTACGTACATGTGGTCACTTCCTTTCCATATCCCAAGGTTAAATTAGTTCCGCCTGCCTGAGTTCATGACACTTGTTTGTTTCCACATTTTATGGTGTGGTATGATATACGATGTAACACTTTTGTTTGTGCTTTAATTCGAATTGTTTATACAATACATCATTATTTATACAGCGCGTTCACAACAGCTGCAGGTCTACCAAATCACTTGGATTTAAATTCCCTTCAAATGCACCCCCCCCCCCTATGGATTTCAACATGTTTTGCCGTCATTTATCCTCCAATCTTTTGTTGTTCTACTTTTCTTAAAATACCTTTTTATTTCATGTGTTTGCCTTATTACCAAAGAGGCTGTAAAAGCACACCACCTGTTGGTGTCCGAGTGCCTTTGTATGACCCCCCACCCTCCCCATCTTGCCATTTCCTGCGATCGCAGCTCACTCTAGGGCTACAGAATACGAAACGTTAGAAAAATTCGGCAGAGCTACTCGCTGTGTCGTTTGACAAGCTTCTCTTCTGCGTTTACGTATGCTAATTTGGTAATGACGTGTTTGCATATAGTCATTAGCCCTGCCTTTCACCATTATTTCCTTGGGCTAACAATGGTCCCAATTAGCTCTGTAATTGTAAATGTGTGCGTTGCCTTTCATGTGGCTCTGATGGACATATGGCTGTGCTGTTTGCCAGAGTTCTATTTAAAAAAAAAAAAAACATACACAATGGAGCATAATATACGTTATTTTTATGGCCGCGCTAAACGGATCTACACACTTGCATGGCGCTTTAGTGTTGCATTCATTTTTCAAATAACTGAATTATTTTTTTTAAAAAAGTCTTGGCTTGACTGGAATCTTTTTTTTTTTTAAACACAGACTAATGTTACTGTGTACGCAAGCGCCACTCCGTGTAGAAAAAAGTTAGTGTGATGGTCCCAAGCCAGGAGGAAAGTGAGAGTCAAAGACAGTGAAAGTCAGAAGTTTGGAAATCATTTCACGTTTAAAATGAGAAGAATGCAAAGCTGAACAACTAAAGTCCAACAATGTGTACGATTGCCAACACAAGATAACGTGAGCATTGTTAGGTAATTTGATATTGCCTACCACCGCTAAATAGACCAGGAAGTGGTCAAGAGAAGACAGCCACGGGTGGGCTTTTAATCACTTTACTGAAAAGAAACACAAACTGCTAATGTAAGTTTAAAAAAAGAAACAACAGAAGAAGCAGCCAACTTGACTAGCATTTGCTGATAACGCACATCCCTCACCAGGCAAGACGCCGCCTTGAAAGCCATCCGCACTCAAATTCACAGATGAATAATGCAAGAAACTATTTCTATTACTCAATGAATTGATGACATAGTCAAATACTTGATTGTAAAAATGAAAGATATTTGCAGAGTCAACTCAAATGCTGACTGGAACTTTTCCATTGAGAAAAAAAAAACTTTACACCTGGACCCTTTTATGTTGGGAATGATGATTTGTTTGAATAAAAAAAAAATCCTATGGAGAAAACAAGCTCTAAATCAAATTGTCACCTCCATTAAACCTTTAACAGAGCAAGCATTGTTTGACGTCATCCTTTAATTGTCATACATTTGGTAAAAAAAAAAAAAAAAGGGGGGGGGAACTGTTCCCAAGACAATTCAAGTCAGCTGTGGAGGGTGAAGGTGTGTTGTGTTCTTTCATGATGGAGCCCTTGTTGAGTTAGCTGTCTTGTACCGAGCAGCCTGGATAGATTTGTTTGACGCCGGTTGGATGCGTCAGTCGTCAATGTGACGTTGCATCAGATTACGTCACCGACGGGCAGTTGTCTTGTAATTGACTTATTGTTGTTCCTCGCGGCATGTTGCACTGAGCAGCCAGGACAGATATGCGTGCCCAGCCCTGCTTTTGTTGCTAGGATACCACCCAGTCCCAATAAGTTCCATATTTGTTTTTATTTTATTTTTTGAAAACGAGTTCATCGTTTTTCCCTTTGCTGTGCAGGGTGTCCTGTGATTAAAAAGCCAAAGTAAACGAATATTGCACTCTCACCGGGGATCGTCCTTGAAGTCTCCCGCCATCCGCCACCTGTTTCCAAGTCCCCCCGCCCCCCATTTCAATTGTTTTCCCTAATAACTCGGATTGCTTTTGCAAATTGTCCAAGCTTCGGCACTTTTTTGCTGGAAATGTTTGTATCAGTGCGTGTCACCCGGGCAAATGGGAAATTTACAGTTCGTCACACTTCATTTGTATTTCTTTGTAACGCAAATGCGCCCACGTTACGGCGACTCCATTTCTTTTTTTCTGTCGCGTAAATATACCTCAAACTTTTCACAGTTAACTGAATTGCACTCGGACTCAAAAATGCCGTGTGTTGGCAATAAAGCTCCTGTTTTGTTCCCCCCCAAAACACAATAATGGTAACTTGCACTGATGTCATGGGTGTTTAGGAAGTCGCGTGTGATCTCTTCAATCGGATGAATAATTGACTGAATTCATCATGCATCGACTTCTTTTTTTCATTCATTTTTTAATTTATTTTTTCTTTTTTCAACCAGCTACACTCTGCTGGGCTATGTCACCCTTGTCATTGTGCTTGCGAGTGCCCTTATTATCATTTATTAAAGTCCTTGTATCTGCAAATCTCTCTCGTAGGGTTTGTTAGAGACGGAAGGTTATGACCGAGCAGCAGCAAAGAATGGCTGCAGTGGGAACTGACAAGGAACTCAGCGACCTCCTGGATTTCAGTGCGGTAAGAGAGTGAGATTGCAGTCGGGGGTGGGTGACAACCGGGAAGAGAAGGGCCCACACAGGTGGGAGACGTCGGTGATAGAAGGAGGCGTTTCCGCTGGACAAATTTCTTTAATTGGTCTTCTCAATGCAGGTTTTGAGAAGTAACGCACATCGAGCGTAATTGGAGGAAATGACTTTTGTTGCGGTTTGTCGACGGGCAATCGTTACGTGCGTCATGAATTTATTCTCGCTGGAAAGATTTTTGTCAAATGCTTCACTCTGGGAAGCGTTGGGTGTTCTCCGACGTAATCTACAATGTGGATGACCTATTTATCGTTTTGGAGTTTTGTTTGAATATTTGAATTTGAGACTGTGTCGATTTAAAAGAAAGAAAAAAAAAACTAACAACAAAAAAAAAGGGGGTGGCAGGCTCAATGACAAGCACGAGGTAGACTTGACACTCAGACCAAAGTGATTACTGTAATTGTGGCCACGAATGATTACCATTTTTTTATATGCTGCGGTTGATTGCCATTTCACAGCGGCATGATGTCATTTTTGTTGCTCACAGGGATGTCTTTCGTGTGCAGCTCCAGTATTTCACATGATGGAGCTCTTCAGTCCACTTCTAAGAAAAGGAAGCAACACTCCCCAAAGGGAGTGTCTCATTAAATAGTGGAATTCACCATCAAAATGTCCAGATTGATCGTCTGCCAATTTGGAACAGCAGATGTTCCGTTGACGAAATATGACTCTGATAATTGGGTGAGAAACTGTCGAGGGTTGTACAAACAAGTTTCCTCCTCGTTTGTTTCTTGCGCCTGACACCCTCCCAAGTCTTGGACACGGAAGAAAGCGTGTGTTCGACGTGTCTAAGACGGCTGTTACAAGACCTAATGGGATCAAAATGGTTTGCGAAGACCTGTTATGTTGTCGTCTGGGGGGGGGGCAAGATTGCCACATCCAGTCGGTAATTCAACCCACACGCTCAAGACAAACGGAGGCCTCTGTAACCGTGGTTGCAAATTCCCCCCAAATTTTTTTTTTTCCCCCAAAAAAGTTTTTGCTGCAAGCTAGCGTCAGTTTTTCTTTTAAACCCTTCATCTTATGTGGTACAGTATCTCTCAACCCTTTCACGGGCAGCCGTTACTACAGTGGACATCAGGTTGCACAAAAGGGCTAAAGCGTAAAAGTTTACGCCGAATGAGTGCCGAGCGCACGTTGATGTCGTTTATTAGTGGGAATGGGATGTGTGAAGTGTGCCCTCCTTTGCTTTTGTCAGAAATGCTTTCTTCCCCTTTTGTCGCCCCGCAGATGTTCGCGCCTCCCGTAGCGAACGGCAAGAACAGAACAATGACCCTCGCCAGCAGCCAGTTCAGCGGCGCAGGTAAGTTTCCAAGCAGACTTTTAAACACACACACACACACACACACACACACACACACACACACACACACACACACACACACACACACACTTGATATTGTCTTGGCAAAATGGCATTGGTTCCCTTTTTAAGTTAAGTTTATAAGTTCAGTGAATTTTACCGAAAATTATTGACAGCTGATTGTGTCATTGAAAGACTTGTATAATGCTTGCAATATCGTATCAGGATGGTCCGATTTGAGCCACTGGATCGGTACTGAGTCGATCACTGCCAAAAATATCAGAATCGGTATTGGACTGTTTTTATTAGAACCGTGTCGATCCAATCCCTAAACCCAAACTACGTATATCATATATACTCAACTTGCCATAGCACAAATGAGCTGTCATCTTGGTTGCCGTGTGTGCGTATTCTGTATTTTCGTCAGATACGTAGTTGTTGTACAGTAAACGTGGTGTTTGTCGATGTCATTGTCATCAAATTACATCCGCATATAAAACTTTTTGATTGGCAAAAAGAATCGGATCAGTATCGGCCGGGCCACGAGCCTGCAGCATTGGTGTCGGATTTCAAGAAGTGGTATCGAGCCATCCTTTTTATGAACCAGTTATGTACAGTAGGGCAGGTATGTGTATATATATACATATTCCGATGTAAATATTTTCATATTGGTTGATAGAGCAATATAGTGAATAATTTTATTCATTTTGTGCTATTGAAAATAAGAACCCAGAGAGAAAAAAGGCAGAATTTGGGCAGTTTTATTTTATCATATAATAAGAGCTCAACGTAACTATGAGAAAGTCAAATAAACTGGTCAATATACAGTCAAGAGTACATTTTGCGCTTAGTAGGGCTGAAAAAAGTATTTCATATTTGTCAATGTTGATGGTGTTTTTTTTTTTAACCTTTTTCAAATAAGAAAAACAATTAACTATTGTCGTGTACATCGTAATGTCGCGTAATGTGCAAAGTTGCTCGTCCAGCAGTGTACTGTAAATGCATTTTTGGGGAAGACGGTACCACAAAGCGGGATCATTGGTGATTACATTAACCTTCATTCGATGCTGAATCTTTTGTGGACTGCTGCCTTTATAAAGACAACAAAAAAGTTTTTTGAATGAAAGTGCTGAGTCAATATTTTAAAAAAAAATGTAATTGAAATTATTTTGTTTTTTGAGCATTTGTTTTTATTTGTGAAATTGCAATGCCTTGATTTTTAGCGAAGTCAGTACACAGTTAAAGCCAAGAATGCCAGTGCACCCCGTGACGACGTTATATATGAAATAATCATGGAAACTTAGCGAGTTATGTTACGACTATCTGGTGCCAGTGGCGGTTCTGAAAGGGCCACGACACTAAAGGGTGGGGCACGTCGGAAATTCACTCTTACGCCTGTACACTACTCTGAGAGTGGGTGTGCTCAGAGTGCTCCGCTCCCATTATTTTCCAAACGCAGCCAGCACTGGCGCATTGTGTTCCCAGCCTGAGCACCTTGTGCGTGCATCCACACCTTCGTTTTCGGTGCACTCTGAATAGGGCTGGACAATATATCGAAATCGAGACACGGTGTGAACATTCAAGATACTAATATCGATATGAGGACGAGATCAGCCATGCTTGCATTGCGTTGTAATCTCAGTTCAACCAACCGCATTCCTTCTTCCAAGTTTGCCGTTGATCGACTGCGAAAAGCAGCGGATGACGATCACCTTGCGAGAGGGGGGTGGGACATGCAGAGCGAGCGAAGGACACACGTAGCCACTCCTACCTGGACAGCACACACGCTAACACGCAAGAAAGCAATTTCCATGTTCGCTGTCAGATATATACGCACGGTACACCTTACGTGGCCACATTTCTAATTTCCAAATCACCAGTGGCTAAAACGTAGAAATCGAGGTTCGGCTCTACCACGTCGGTCGTCGCGGTAAAACAACTCCATGATAAGGTTGCAGCCGATTTGTTGCGACATGTTTTGTAGATCGCAGGCAAGCACGAAAATAGTTTCTCCCTGGGATTATGTATCTCGGGTCGGTTTTGACATTGTTTAAATCCTCCTTTTCTGCTGTTTGAATTGGCATCATATCTTTGGCCGAACAATACACAACCGCATCAGTCATATTTTGCTACCGTCTGCTTTTTTTGTTGGAAGGGGTGCGGCTAGAGAGTCCTCCAGCAGTGCTCGGTTGAAACATTTTGTGCACTCTTATTCCGAACAACACGAGCATTTTTTTTTATGTCCTCCTCTTGTGTTTTCAAGCCTGCTCATATTCAGCCGTGTGTTTAAGCTTGAAGTTGTAAAGCATATTGGTTGTCTCCACTGTTACCATCGGTCACGATATTACTGCATATTTGGCAAATGATTGTCGTTTGCTTTTCTAGCTGACCTCCTGTGGCCAAACCACCTCCACACCCTTGTATAGGCGCCTCCCAAACCCTCATTTGAGGACAAAGTCGCTGTTGCAAGTGCAACTCTTGCAGGACAATCCACGAAGCGACGCAATGACGTATAATGTCATGGAATACATTATCACATATGTCAAACTCAAGGCCCGGGGGCCAGATCCGGCCCCCCAAGGTCACTTGATGTGGCCCGCGAAAGCAAATCATGCGTTGCTAAATCTGTACCGAAATGTCAAATTGTCACGTGTAATAAATAACGTTGAGATTTTGCAATCATTTTGTGACCCTGTTTACCCTCACTCGAACGCTAATTGAGCAATCTGTTAATCGACTTATTTCAAAACGAGTAATCTATTTGTTTTAAGTCATAATTTTGCGCTTTCACTGTCATAACGGCCCCCTGAGGGAAGATGTAACTCCAAATTGGCCCGCGACTAAAATGAGTTTGACACCCCTGTATTATCACGTCCGTACAGTGTCTATTTTGTCATATTTTGAATTTTTATTCCCCCCCCCCCCAAAAAAAATACAAAACAGTCATGCCTTTGGTAAGAAAGTGTGATAGGACACACCCCTATAAGACATTCAAAGATCCGACAGGTGCCCTGCTATATAGGTTATGCCTGAATGTTTTGCCAAATGTGGAACTTTGTTGCCATTGTGCCAGATCGGCAGAAAAATAGTGGCTTAATGACCAATGTTAGTGAGCGAACACTTGGCATTTGCATTTTTACGCAAGAAAGTGTTCCGTATGTAAATATGAGTTATGCTTAAACATCTGTGCCATCATTTTGGATGTCTATTATTTTCTATTTTTAAAGTGCAAATGAGCTGCCCGGTTAACCCCTGGAAGTGCTTGTGGACTTTTTTTTTTTTTTTTTTTTGTTAAGTGATCTTTTCTTTCTCGCTCTCTTGCTGAATATTATTACGTAGTCATGTTACTTTGGTGCCTCTGTCACGCGGCCAACCTGCCGCGTGAAATCCAGTCACACTTCCCAGTGTTCCCCAGAGTGAGAACTTGGCCACGGAGGAACAAAGGCAAAAAGAAAAAAAAAAAGAGGGGGGCGGGGGTTTAAAGACTTGAAACGACTCCCCCTACCAGCACCGCCACCCTGAAGTGTAAAACACTCCTCCCCCAATCTGGCACAGGGCTCTTACCCCCGCTGATCTGCAGGAAATGGCGCGAGTCAGAGACAATGTGCCTCACCCACAGCTCGACGGCTCTTAAACTGGCCCAGCATGCAGTGAGTGGCCCGAGTCGAAGAGGGAGCTTGTTGAATAGAGGGATCAACCCTCGGAAGGCAGGATTCTGTTTGTTTCTCTTACAGCGGGCAATTACTAAGCAGTGAGGAGTTAATTCCTTCACCCTCCCCTCACCCCCTTCGTCCTCGTGTCCCAAAGTGTGGCCCTCGGTCAATGACGCCCATTTTAATGCGACACACTGCAAGCTGTCACCTTTGGAGATCTGGAGCACAATGGTGTTAAAATGCTTATCCATGCAAATTCCTCACTGGGAAGTATCGGGAGTCTGTCCAGATTGATGACGACATGCTCTAGAAAAAAAAATGGAACGTTAACATGATATTAGTCGAAGAAAATGAATGCTACTGAAAAAAAAAAAGTGTTAAACCGGGAGGCAGCTCATACCAGTGTCTCCAGATCTGCGACTGGTATCGCGTGGAACTTTGTGTTTCACAAATGCGTCATGATTTAATTTTTGGGGTCATTAATTTCATAAAGAGCAGCCTATTTATTCTTGGCGACAAACTGTATCTGCGTAGAGCATACAAGCCTCGCCAATTGATGTCAAGCTATAGACCTACTAGTGTTCCCTAAATCTGCTATACACGCATGCTGTGTGGGTTTCGGAAACTATAAAAGGGGAATGTGGCTGTCATCCTTCAAATCCGGCTGCTTACTGCAGTGACTGGAGGAGGATCGAGACTGGCGCTTCACCTATAGAAGATTTTTAGTATTTGAGCATCCTACTTAAAACCGAATATTCTGACAATATAGAATTTTGCTTGGTTGAAGAACTATTATGAGCACAAGAGTAAATAAGACATTTCATTTCATAAACAAGGAACTCATTTTCTTTTCTAGGTCATTTTTCTTAAATTCTAAAATTTGCAAAGCGGCAAACTGTGTTCTTGTCTAGCTGCTGAAACGGTAAATTTGGGTCTTTGTAATGCAATGACATTAAGGGTCACAGCAGCACTATCACCCACTAAAACAGACCATTTGAATAAGCCTGGTTTGTTAAAATGGATCGGTAGGAACCTCGGCCCTGTCAGGCTGTCAGCATCAAAGAATGGTGCGTAGATTCAGCCTTGGAAAATTAGTCCTACGCACTCGCTGCTCGCCATTAGGCGGTAACGCTGTCGCGGAGACAAGTCAACCGCAACAACAATTAAAAGAACACTGCTGCAAAGACCAATTTCAAAATACAAGCCTGCCAAGGCTATTGTGTTGATGTTCATGTATTATTTGTAAGGATTTTTTTTTTCAGTTGGCCTTTGCACTACGTTGGCGGCGTGTTACTGTATGAACAAGTGTTGTTGCATCCGGCTTGACTTGCTTTTCTGGCAGTGCAA